AGAGTTTCTAGCAGCAGAAATGTTACCTGGGTAATTCACATTCATCAAAGCCAGCTTCTTGATACAGTGGTGTGAAAGTCGCTGGTGCTGTAGTTAAATAAAACCTCTAAGGCTGACTAATGACCTGAGCATTAAACCACTGCCAAGTCATTTATGACTGATCCTAATTGCAATACATGAACAATAATGTTTGTTCATCCACCTATTTCATCTGTTTCCCTGGTATCCTTTACGCTCATCTTTCCCCATCACCCAAACAGTGAAAGGGAGTGCAGGTAATTCATCTAGCTGTGTAAGCCTTCACACTCCCATTTTATAAAATAGACACTGGATGTGCAATCATTAAAGTGCAACTCTCGGCAGAGCTGCCCAAGAGAAGGACAGATTCCAGTTGAAAGCTTAAGTTGCAGAAACCAACAGAAACTGAGGCGCTAGCAGTGAGTTTAGCCGACAATCGTGTTTCCTACCTGAATCGGCTTTTTTGGTGTATTTTTTACTCTGGCCTCGGATGATGAGGATGAAAACAAGAAGGAGGATGAAGATAAGGCCCACCAGAGCAATCACTACCAGGAACCACCACTCCTCATAGAAGGGAGAAACCTTTTGGGCTAAAAACATAACAAATAACAGATGTCAATACATAAATAAAATATACATTGTGTCATTTTTTTTGCATTAATGAATCATTTGAAAGTAACCTGATATGGAAGGGGAGGGGGCGCTTGGGGACCCATAGCCGTAGTCATTGACTGCGATTACTCGAAAGTCATAGGTGACCCCTTCTCTTAGCATATCCAGGTTAAGAGTGTAGGATGTCACTTCTTTAGGGATGTCTTTGATAAGGATATCCCACAATCCTTCATCTAAACACAAGACAACACAAGATGCAAATACATCAACCAAGTCATCATGGAGAAAAGAACTTATGAACTGTTTATGTATCAGGCTCACCAGAGGGTCTGGCCTCGATGACATATCGTGTAATGGGTGCACGGCCTTGATCACCACTTGTCCAGTGCAGCGTGATGGCAGTGCCATAACGTGAAATAAAGGGTTCTCCAGGAGGGCCTGGGGCTCCTTGGGTAGATAATATAGTTAGACATAATTAGAAAACCTGGCATTCTATCAGGGAGGCACTCAAATATATTACTGACATGAACCTCAGAAAAAAGGCAGTATTACATCACAGCATTAGACAATCCCACCTTCTCCTGGCCCAGTAGTGATGTTAGCCTCCACCTCGGGGCCATAAGTGAGCGTTTTGGCCCGTATACGGAAGTTATAGGTGACACCATCGGCCAGGTCTTTGACCTTCATCCACAGGGGAGCACTGCCCTTCACATCTACTGTCACTATCTTACTGACACCTGGAGTGCGAGGAGAGGAGTCTGTACAGGAAACACTAAGACTCAAGATTTCTACAAGCAATAAATAGCCACGCTTTGTTCATATGAACAGGCACACTAGAGACACAGACACAACTTCATAATGACAAAGAGTTAGAAGACCAGACAGACAGACTCACAAGACAATCAGAGACATGCACATCTTTGCATATTAAACAGAAAAGATCTATTATTCCAGCAGCGTTCTAGATATACAAAAAAGAGACACCAGGACCCTTTTTAAAATAGACCGACTGATATTCCCTGTCTTTGTTGCTCTGTTCGACTTTGCTCTGGGACCATTAGTGGAGAGCCGAGGGACCCCAGCAGGCTCAGCTCAGCATTCCACCTCTGCTCCCAATTACTTGACAATCTGGTCCAGTCAACTATAGTTAGCCAGCCATTAGCCATGCTTCTCTTAGTGAGAGAGAGAGAGAGCTGGGCAAAGTCTCACCCAAAACATAAGTTTTCAGCCATGCCTTATATGTTACTTCAGGGACTATACTCATCTGTAATAGATCAGAGCACGAGCTCAAGTGGTGTGAGTTAAAAAAATATGGTAACAAGACTAAAGGTTGTAAATAACTGTCTGAGAAAGCCAGCTAAAGAATGGCAAGGCAAGGAGTTATTAGGCTCCAGGCAGAGTTTCTCACCATCAACTGGAGAGCAGGGCTCATAAACCAGGCGGTAGCCCTCAATGATGCCGTTGGCCTGCTTGGGTTCTCCCCAGGACACGTTGACCGAAGTGGTGGTCAACTCACTGAAGTGAATGAAGCTGGGAGCACTGGGTGCTTTTGGTGAAGAAGGGGGTTAAAAGGTGATGACAGCTGGATCTTTTCACAGCACTGAGACAAAACACTAAACACACACTGCAAATAAAGTGCATACTCAGCTGCCAAGCCAAAATACAGTGACCCGGATACTTCACCCTGGAGTACATGTTCATGAAAAATTATTCTGACATAAGCAGATAACTAAATTATCCCATCATTTATTTATAATTCTTTACTGCGTGAAATCCAGAAATGTCTATATCTCTTATTCTTGATGTTCTTCTTCACTATTTATGTGAGTTTTCAAACGCAACAGCAAATTTCCACATTTTTAAATGAAATATTTTCTTTTTCAGCAACACCAGGCACCATGGCGTACAGCTCAGATCAATATAAAAGAAGAAATAAAACCCTGTTTAGCAAATCAGTCACCAAAACTAAAAGTAGACACCAAAATGTGTAAAATCATTGTGTGACCTTGAACAAAAGCTGACAGCATTCCTCCTGATGACCCAACTCACATCCAGCTAAGTGTCAGGATTTAGCCACAATCCTGCATAAAATTCCCAGAAGCTTGTGCTGGCTAACTTCCCAGTATCATGTGGTGCAGAGAGCCAAAATTCCTGCTTGTGCTTTTAAGTTCTCGGCACTTTGCAACCCTTGCCAATGTCACAGCCTTCAAGGGGGTGGAAAAGACAAGAGAAATTTATATTGTAAACCATTTTTCTTTGCTGAGACAACAGAGCAAAGAGTCTTGCTAGCTGGTAAACACAGACATCTTTGTGCAATTGCAGCCAGAAAACCAATCTACTGTACATCTCTTGCATTCTTGCTCCTCCACTGTCATTAGGCTTCCACCCCCATGGAGGTCCTGGGGGATGTGTCAGGAAAACTGCTTTCTTATGTTATATCTACCTAACTAAATGTTTTAGTGAAAATGCTCTATTTCTTGGTGAATAAGATGAGCTGGTCTTACATTATTTGTCTTAAAGCCACAGTATTTCAGTTGCAGTTCACTGTCTTGCATAACATAATAAATAACGATGAAAGCATTCATCCTATATCTTTTTGTAGATGTCTTTTGGGGCTAGCATTGAGATGCAATTCTATTTAATGACTTGAAAATCACAACCAATGTACATATAATAATAATATTTTCACTGGCCAGATGACACAAAGAGACAAAGGAAAGAAAGAGGTGCATAAAGAAATGCACAACCTAAGGCTATGAATTGCTACATGCTGTTGGCAGAAGGTATTAGCAACACAATAAATGCTAATGGTCTTTTGATTAATCACACAATCTCTTGATCAACATCTGGATTTAGTGAAACTCACCTGCTTGCTGAGTGCGCCCTCTGGTGGGCAGGGAGCGGGGTCCATCCCCTGCAGCGTTAAAGGCTGATACACTGATCATGTAGGTAGTGTAGCCTGTCAGGTTTTTAAGCTTCACCCCGAGCTCTGGCAGGAACAGAGTACGCAGGCGCTCTGTCTCATTCTGGAGCTGAAACTCCCAGAAATAGATCTATTAACAGAAAGAAAAGAAAAAAGCTTCAGGTGCAGAATTCATATGTTTTTCAATAAAAATAAGAAGGGTATTATATTAAACTTGGGATGATTTTTGATAACATTATTGATACCTTGTAACCTTGTATGTCCCCATTCTGAGTTTCAAGAGGAGGAGGGTCCCATGTGACATCCAGCTGTGTGGCTGTTGAGGACTGGACCACCACATTTTGTGGAGGGGCTGTTGGGACTAGAATAAGGTACAGTGTAAATAATAACTATTTTACTAACATCATCACTTTTTATATGTTCCATATGCCTTCTCTAATATTTAAGAAACCGATTAAAGGTAAGAAGACTAACACACGCTGCACAGTGACAGAAGAAACACACCTGCCTCTCCAACAAACACTTCCTGTGGTGGGCTGCTAGGACCCTCCCCCACAGCGTTATACACACTCAGACGGATCTCGTAGCGTTTGTGCTTACTTAAATCTGCAGGAAGAGAACCCATAGCTGCTTTGTAATACAACAGTTAAGATAGAAAAGCAAGTCGCTCTGGAGAGGGACACACCTAAATGACGAAATGATGGCAAGAATCAGCTGTGGCCTCTCAGAGAGTACAGGTAAGTGGGAGGATGGCGCAGTTGCTGTGAATTATGATACGGCATATTTTCTAGAAGCAGAATATAACAGATGGCATGCAAACAAATGGAGGGTGATGGAAGAGATTCATAAAGAGAGATATAAGACTTACTATCTAGTTCATATTGGGTGAGTGAAGACTCACTCAGGTTCCTGATACTGTACAGAGCTGGAGTTTGGTTAGAGGGTTGGGGAGGGGAGGGAAAACATGGATGAGTGTTTATTTTGCAAAAGATATTGCAGATATCATTTACAGCATCAAAGCAATACTTGGATGTAAAAATAAGTATATTTAAGACTCAGTGTAGACTGCATATAACCTGAAGTAGTTGATGGGTTGCATTGAAAAAGTCAATTGAAAAAGTCAGTTCACCAGTGAGATCAGCCCAGTTTGCAGAGGGACCGTTAACTGTGCGGACAGTGAAGCTGCGTTGCTGGTCATAGTGTAGCTCCCGGTACCTCACCCTGAATCCCAGCAAAACTCCATTAATATGATCCTCAGAGGGAGACTGCAAAGTGAAAAAGTCTGCTTAATGGCCAGTACTTAACAAATAAGACACAACGAATTCCACTTTCACCATTCATTAATCCATATTTAAAACACAGTGTCAAATAATTCAACAGCGCACCTGCCAGCGGACCAGTACAGAAGTGGTGGTGTGAGGTGTAACAGACAGAACTGTTGGAGCTTTGTCTGGGGCTAGAACAGATAAGAGTTTAGTGTTTTGGTGTTAGCAACCCCACACAGCTGTGAAGGGTGATATGAGAGTGATAGGGGACAGCTTGAGAGTAAACACATGCACTATTGACACACAGTAGTCACAATGAAAATCCAAAGTCAAACATGAACGTAAATGTATGTTCATTGTGTGATTACAAACGTGTTCTTGTACAACTCCACAGAAAATGAACAGACAACGATTCTGTGCTGCTTGGTGACATGTTCGGCCCATGTCTAATCACTGCAGTCACAACTTCTTACCATCCTGTAGCGTAGTGATGGCCTCGCTCTCCTGACTGTATTCACTGTCTCCAATGTCATTGGTGGCTTTAATGCGGAACTGGTAAGAAGTGAAGGGCTTTAACCTTTACACAGAAAAAAGCACAGCTTTTATCCCGCGTGTGAAATTTGTTGCCCTGCTCATAACTCTATTTTTTGACAATGGTGAATAGCAAATAAGCATTGATGTCTGGGAGATTTAAAGTGGAGTTCCACATTTACCTGTCTACTATATAGGAGTGTGTCTCGTGGCTGACTGATGCAGAGTGGACAGTCCAGTTACTATCTGGCAGCTCTCTGTACTGGACTGTGTAGTAACGAACTGGGGACAGACCATCGCTGCCTGGTTCCCATGACAACAGTACTCTGCGAGCCTGGACTTCCTCTTGAGGCACTATGGGACGGCTTGTGGGTTGGGGCCGAGCTGAAGGACGAACACACACTCACTGTCACTTTTAAACTTAACATTTAGAGGAGAATATTTTAAATAATAGATTTTAGGCACAGCAGTTTACCTCTCTTTTCTGTTGTGACCACCAAAGCCTCAGCAGCCTCCCCCCAGCCTTTTCGTGTTTGAGCAGTGAGGCGGAATACATAAACCATTTCTGGTTTCAGTCCAGTTGCTGTGTATTGCCGTGCACTAGGACTCAGCACATCTACGGTGGCAGCATTGCTATTTGAAGAATTTTTTCTGTATGTAATCTGATAGGCTAGGAAGACAAATTCAAATCAGTACAAGGTCATGCATAAGAAAGTAGCAGCAAAAAGAAATCTCCTGCTTTTTTAAAGGAAAATTCCCAGACCCAAAGACCCAAAGTAACATCATTTGTTTAAGTCAAAGCTTAAAACTTTCTACTGCTTTGTATAAAATGTAATCACGAGCTATTCATATCTCATTGCACTGTAGCGGCACTGTAATTTTTAGCCTCCTGTTTCTTCTGTCTTATTTTATTTTTATCTTAGTTTTGTCTACTGAATTCAAATTGTATGTTTATAAAATGCTTTTCCTACTTCTGTATCTTGTCTTAATGTATTTTATGCCATATGAACAGCAGCTTGAAATGCCTTGTTGTCTAACTGTGTTACATAAATACACTTCCATTGCTTGTGTCTTACAGCAAAATCTAAGGTCATGAAAGTCTATACACTGTAAACTCACCCAGGATAATGCCATTGGGCTGAGAAGGAGGCTGCCAGATGAGCCTAACTGAGGTGGTTCTGACTTCTGGGAAGAGGATGCCAACTGGAGGCCCTGGTACTATCACACATGAAATCCACAAAATGACAGATCAGACATATTATATATAACACAAATCCACTGAAACAAAGGATAAGGATAATCACCTTTATTGGCCAAGCATGTTACACACAAGGAATTTGTTTCCGGTACAGAACCAATGGCAGCCATCTGCAGCGCCAACTCAACCGATGGCTCTAACCATGCTCTAACCATTGGGGGCAATGGGGGGGGGTTCAGTGTCTTGCCCAAGGACAGTTCGATACGTAGACTGGAGGCACCGAGATCTGAGCCTTCAACTTTCTGGTTGGGAGACAACTGCTCTACCCACCGTACCACTGTCACCTCCCCAGCTGCTTGATCAGTTCAATCCACTTGATTTAAACTGATTAGCAGCTAGTGAAATTCTCAGCGCAGAGAAATAATTTTGCATTTATTTACAGTTTCAGTGTTAACAACAAAAATAAATTGGTTGGTAAAAATGATCGGTTTACCATCATCTAGGGTCCTTTCTAGAATGGATGGTGAGCTGCTCCTTCCATCTCCTATACATGTGAAGGCTAGGACCTGGATCTCGTACAGGACGTACTTTCTCAGCTCGCTCAGCTGGACACTATGGCTGGTGCTGCCCTCCACTGTCCAGAAGAATGGAGTTGTGTCTGAGTCTTTCTCCTTATACACAACCTGATAAACAAAGGGTGCATTATACAGTTAAGTGACTTTTGAGGTGATGAGAAATTACTAAAAGGAGATGCTTTCATTCTCTTGATCTTAGTCTATTCCCTTAGTCTATGCCCATTCCCTGCAGATGATTTTGAGATGAATGGTATGAGCTGTGGAGTGACCTTATAGCCCAAGATGAGTCCATTGCGGTCAGCCTCTGGTACTTCTCCCCACCGCACTAGAATGCTGCTGGAGGTGGTGGCAAAGGCTGACACATTGGTGGGACCACTGGATGGCACTGCAGCAGGAGGTAAAGGATTGAAGTTTAGAACACTTCAAGCATACCTGGCTGAGTTTATGTTGGCATCTTTATACATATTTCCATCCTCACCAGACTCTCTGGTCCTGCCGTGGACAGGCTGGCTCCAGGGTCCAGAGCCAATGCCATTGATGGCCTGAATTCTGACCTCATACTCCATCCACTCCTCCAGGTCCTCGATAGTGAACTCTCTCTCCAGCCGGTCCATGATGACATGGGAAAGCACCCCCCCTTTAGACCCAGCCTTCGAGTATTGGATCCGGTAACCAACAAAATCTGGATTTCCATTGTACTCCCACTCAGGAAGAGGCTGAAAGATATTTTATTTTTAGTTTTTATACCCTCAGTTCATGTGAGATCAATATAAATGACATTATAACGGAGTGCATAATGAAGTAATAAGCTGTAAGAGGCTGTATTTTACAACAGTTAGGAGACACTGTCAGAAACAACAATAAGCAGTACAGCATAAGAAAAGAAATGCTCTCAGCACTTAGCACAGCAATGAGTGATTTTAATAAAATGTGGTAACACTTCAGTGTACCAAATAATGGCCCATTCACTAAATCAGTTAAATAAATCATAATGTTAACCTTGTATTTAACCATTTGTATGTCATTAAATGCTATAGTTTTTGAAAATCAATCATAAAACATGATCGCTATGCGAGGCACAAGGAAAGGTTTTTACTAGATTTTTGGTATATCAATATTGAAATTAAGCATTGTGCAAAAATTTCTCTTAAGGGTGTTTGAAATCCTCTAAAAGTCACTCAGCCGGTAAAATATAAACCCAGACTTGTTGGTTTTCAAAGCAGTATGTCTAACACTGACACATGCACCTGGTGTAGCATGACAAGTGAGCATATGAAGCTAAAGTGCTGGTGTTCTTGAAATTAATTCTTGACTCACACTAAGACTTCCATGCCATAGCAATCAAGTGAACCACACAATCTTTTAACAGTGAGGTTTTGAAAAAGACTACAATCATCAAGGTATGTCATTAATTTGTAGAGCCATATCACACAGCTAACACCCCTCTGCTGTTAAATCTAGGTAACATGCATCTTTTTTTAATCCCGCATGAGCTGCAGGAGTATCTCGGCTCAGTCTCACTTCCTGGCATTGCTCATGCACTGGCATAGTGATAATAACAGGCAGATATAGCAAAGATTACAGTGGCCAAATGCTGACACAAAAAACCAGCAATAACCAAGGACAGGGTACATTCAACATTATCAGTACCCTCACTTGTATTCATCTTATAACAAGCCGGATTTACACAAGAAGGAAAAGGTAACATTCATGTAAAAGGTAAAAATGAAGACATAAAAAGTGCTCTAAATTCTAAATTGAGGTTTTGCAGGGAGCAAAATACTTGCTTGTGAGTCAGCAGATTTTAAAGCAACTGTCACAGTGAAGGTCAAATGTTTTCATATATATTTAAAAAATAGATTTTTGTGATTTTCATGGGCACAATGATCTAGACCAGATCAAATTTTTGTAAGTCCTATGAGCAGTCCATCCAATTACTATCCCAAGGGCATTTTTCTGAATCCAAAGGGAATTTTACTGATTCACTCTTACCCAACATACCAGCGAGTAGGACAAAAAAAAAATTTAATATGTATGCAAAGGCATACCAAGATTTAGAGGAATTTTAACAGTCCAGGTCTGCTGAATAGCAACAATTTAGACAAGTTTTTTTAAATCTAATTAAAATTTAATAAAACTCAATGAACATAATACACACAGAGTCATGGTCAGTGTACAATCAACTGTGACAACTTACCACCCAGCGAAGCCACAGGCTGGTCTCACTGGCTGTACGCAGGGTTACATTTGCAGGGGAGATGTCTGGAGGGGCTTGCAGGGTTTGGATTTTCCTGGAGGGCTGACTGGGAGGACTGGTGCCCACAATGTTTACCTGACGCATTCGGAACCTGGGGAAAAACAAACCAGCTGGTGGTGGATAAACTCATGATATGCTGGTGATATAAGAAATTCTTAAATCAGATTACTATAGATTAGGGTACATAAAACTTTAATAATGGCCCAAGGGAAACAAGGCCATTGCAGTAGCAGTGAAAAGGATCTATTTATGAGTAGAGAATTGAAGAAAATAATATTAATGATAACAGTAAACTGATACATACAGATCTGAAGAAACTACACTTTGCATCTACACTGTGATGATGTGAAAACAGGTTTTATTACATATATATAAATAGACTTGAATGTGTGTGTTCACCTGTAGAAAGTATAAGGGTTTAGATTCAGGACCTCCAGTGATCTAGCATCAGGTTCATTAGTCAGCTGATGAACCATCAACCACTCTTTGTTCTCTCCTATTATACCAATCTGAAATGCACAAAGAGAACGGGGTGATATCAGCAGCTAAACAGATGAAACAAGTAAGCTTGTTGCACCAATACAAGACATTAAACAACTTGGGGGAAAGAATCATAACAAAAATAAACAAACAAAATCCAGACTGAGTCTAAAATAACTATGAAGCATCCTACCTGGGCTTCAACTTGCCAACAAGAAATTGATGTCTTGCCATCATAACCAGGTTTGAACTGTAAAGTGACAGAGCGAGCGCCGACGTTAGAGACGGCTAAATTGGTGGGAGGACCGGGCAACTCTGTGGAACAGGATAAAGGAAGGACAAATTAAAATGACATTCAAATAGTCACAGCTGTTTTGATATACCTTCATAAAAATCTGTATTATCTGCAGCCCTTTTATCGGATATTTCGAGTAAGTCAACTATTTTACCTGGTGGTACACCAGAGGAGATAGTGGAAGCAGAGAGATGACCCTGGCCCTTGGAGGTCATGGCTGCGACCTGGATTGTGTAAGTGGTGAGGGCAGTGAGCCCTGTCACCTTGTACTCCTGAGTCAGATTGGGCAAATAATGGGTCACCCGAGTATTGGTTCTGTTGAACTCCTCCCAGGAGATACGATAGCCTGGAAGAAATTAATTCCAAACAGCACAGTGCTGCAGAGTTATCACAGTAAACACAAGTTGGAGACTCATAAATTGTGTGAAGCAGAGAAGACATGTTAACATTACATAGTTATCTTTAATGGTTACCTGTGAGAACGCCATTTTTCTCCTGTGGCTCCTTCCAGCTGACTTTTAGTGAGGTGTCCAAGATGTCAGTAAAACTAAGGTGCCCCACAGCACCAGGAGCTGTACAAAAAAATAAAAACATGCAGTAAATGAACAGAAGAACAGTCTGACATTGTACAAGCAAAAACTATATATTAACTTACTATCCTCATGGGTGCGTAACCACTGAGGCGGACTGCGAGGCCCGTCTCCTGGGGTAGTGAAGCACAGTACTGATGCGTAGTATTCTGTGAACTTTTTAAGACCAGAGATGTAACCAACATGAACACTGTCCTGGAAGTTGGGACGCACTGTAACCACGGTGACCTCATTTGCACGATTGGGGTCCCATGCCAACAACTGGAAATGATGTGATGGTGACAGGATTTAAATGAGAGCTCAAAAATGCAGATGTGATCATAGCATTAATATTTTTTTAGCATTTAACAAGATGAAAGTTTTCATTAAAACTGTTCACATAAAAACATTTAGCAGCTGTTTATGATCATCTGTTTATGTTTATGATTAAGAAGTAATGCTTTCCATACAGTCCACCTCACAGCGTTACAATCAGGCCAGTCCTTGTTCAGAGATGACGGCGTGCTCTTCTACCTCTGACCACTAGAGTGCACCAGTTGACAGACGAGGCTGCTCACCTTATATCCCTGGTTGATTCCATTGATAAACTGAGGGCTTGGGGCACTCCAAGTAAAACGCACAGTCGTGGAGTTGACAGCCTCAGCTTTTACATTTCCTGGTGGCACAGTGGGCACTGATCCAGAGGAAGGAGAAAAACAATAGCGATATAGAGGTGGAGTGAGTTGGGGAAAGAGGGAGGAGGTGGGGGGGAGACAGACAGGTGGAAGAGAGAAATAGTGATGAGTTAGGGAAGGAAAAATTTGAAAATGTACGACAGGCACTTTCAGACCAGCCTCATATACAGCATGAGAATCGGGCTGATGCATGTTTTTTTTTTATTTTTGGCTCATTTGGGGAGGTGAGAACATGCCAGTCAAACCGGGTGTGAGAGCAATTGCCTCCGGCGGCTTCCAGGTAAACCCTGCAGCAGTTTGTTTGAAGTGAGCATGCCATTCTGATGTAACACCAGAAAACATTCAGGGAGTCACACATTGATGAAGCCGATTGGCCCATATTGTTCCTCGTAACCTTGTGCTACCACTGATTCTCTCTGAGTGTATTTAAATGCACATCATGATCTGTTCTTGTGCCTTTAATGGAGTGAGTGACAGAAACATGCAGTTAATGAGAGCTGAGCTACACAACATGAATGTCTTGTTCACTGTTGTTATTCACTGACAGTGACTTGGATGATGAAATTATTATTTATTTCTTGCAGGGGAAGAGAGATGGAAATAAAATGGGATGTTTGCCATACTTTTCAAGTTTTGAAGTGTTGCTCATTAACAGTGATGTTGTGTTTCTTTAGAAATGTGGTACATTTGTTTCTCTGCAGATGTAGCGGTTTTGGACCAGATCATTAACTTATTGACTGATCAGGCATCACACAAAATAAGCTGATCAGGTTTAAAGAATAATGTGTACCTGATAGAATCCAAAACCTCTGAAGCATTTAAAGTACTTTGTACTGTAATCAATCAGCCAAATGAAAGCATCAGAATTAGAAGCCGCCTTTTGACCCAAACAAACTGATGCACCTGCTCAGTGCTCAAACTATAAATGAAGCAGAAATAGAACTGATAAAGTTTACAGTTGTGGCACAGTTCCACTCCTGGACAATGGGAGCGAGGGAGGAATATGTGAATCTGAGTATGTCTGAGTAGTGTGAGATGCACAGCCGCTTTGTTAGACTAAAAGTCTGGATCAGGTAGTTGTAAGAAATAATTCATGCTGCCCAGCATTTTCTTTATAGTTTTTGCTCTATTTTTGTTTGTCTTTGTAAAGTATTTCAGAAAAGATACAAATAATATAAACTTTAAAACAATGTAACAGAGTAATATATAAAACATGTCAAATCTAATGAAGTGGAATATCTGATGATTCACCCTCTCTGAGCAGGGAGTGGAAATGAATGGGTCATAACAAAAACCTTCCAGTTTTCTTATGAGCCTTTTTGTGAATATTTAGGGAATCCGGTGTGGTGGATCTCTGTTCAGAGGGTGGATTTAATATGACAGGAATTCTGAGATATGTGCGTGTGTTAAGTCTCTCAAAGTTTTATATACAACTTAAGGAATTTAAAATCGAGCTGGAAGTCAGTGCAGCATATCTAACTGAGGAGCAGTATCCTCTTTCTTGGGCTTGTTGAAGTCTAACGGTAGCATTTTAAACTCACTGTAATCTATTAACTGACTTTTAGGAAAGCCAGTAAAGACAGAATAATGTTCTGATGAAAACAGATGCATTGGGTGTAGTCTACATGACTATGTTTAGCATCTTATCGTGTGGTGTAAAACATTGTCATCTCGTAAATCACATTCTTTCAAGCATTTATATTTTGCATTTTATTTATTTTTAAGGACAGCATTTCACAAAAAAGAAAAATGTTTGCATCAGTCACCTGGAATTTTTGGTTAGCCTCGCTGACCACAGCTTTAGTTAATTGTGCACATACTGTATATTAAAATCTGAGTGATGACAATGGCAGACTCGTGACACAGCTTTAGATGATGCCAAAGAAAGCTGCCTCAGTTGATTTCTATTCTCATAGCACATGCCGAGAAATGTAATTACTACACACATTGTGAACTTTCCCCATTGTCATATACAGTAGCTGCATAGTTTCAACACACCAAGTGATTCCAACACTTCTCTGCTCATTAAAAACACTTTCTGTACTAAATCTTTAGAGAATGAAAGTCATATTTGTCACTGTCAAATATTCCAAGCCAAATATAAGATTATGTTTTTCATCAAATCTAAAGAGATAATATGTTGAAAGCTCTGCTGTTGGAGTCTGTGCTAACTCTTTACTCCTGAGAGAGAGGTAAGGGAAATGGCTGTTGTCTTAATAACGTGTGAATCACCTTTTCAAGGTTATCAAAGGATTAAAATAAAAGCATGCTGTGGAACATACTTGTCTGTTCATCTCTTAATTTGATCATTAAAAGTAGATGATTGAATTAACTATCAGTCACAAGTTTCATGCTGCAGGCTCGACATTAGCTAAGGGACCAGCATGATGAGGCAGTAGGTAATTAATGGAATTTATAAAACCAAACAAACCAATCTCATACTTACACCAACGAAGCTACTGGGAATTTATAAATTCACAACCTGCCTGTAGGTTAATAGCAGTATTTAGATGTTTGGTGGACTGTGGGAATCCTTCCCATATGATGTAAAGCTTGTCTGATGCCCTCACCTCCTTGCAGTGTCCATTCAGTGACTTTGTGACTGTAGATGCCTCGGCCAGCTCCATTGTAGGCTGCCACCTCTATCTCATAGTTGGTCCAAATGATGAGGTCCTCTAGGAGCAGACTGGTCTGATCTGGGGTAGTGATGTTTTTTATCTGACAATCCACTGGAAGCCCAGACAGACAGTACCTGGTAACATAATTCATAGACACAGACCACACACACAGAGAGACAAAAATCTAAATATATTAGAACACAGATTCTCTGAAAAAACAGAGGGAGCGTACTAATGGAAGAGAAGCCATGCAGAGCAGTTATAAAATGGTACAAAAGAGAGGTGAAATCAGATGAATAGAAGGGACGGCATTTAATTGGCACCAATTATTCTATTGAGTGGTGAGCGAGAATGAAGCAAAATAGAGAGGAAGAAAAGGAGCCGACATAACAGTTATTATCACATCTGAATGGAATTGGCTTCTACAGACACCTATTCCTGGGAAGAAGCTAAACTGAAGAAGCTTGTCCTGGTCTTCTACCTGATGATGTAGCCCTGGAGTGGACCATTCTGGTGACTCTCCGGGGGTGCCTGCCACTGGATCATAATGGACTGATTGGTGCGGCCACTTGCGATGACTGTCTGTGGGGGGGCGCTGGGAGGCTCTTCAGGGAGAGTTAGTCTGCAGCAAGAGAAAAAAAATTAAAAGAGAGGTAAAAAAAAAGAGACAAAGAATGAAGCTATGCGTTAATTATCCTGAGTTTCTGCATATTTCCATCCCATTTCATCATAAACATCAAATCATAATAAAGCCCACTTTATTTATTTTTTAGAACAGCAAAGAAAAGGAAAGTTAGACTGTGTCTTTGTCTAAAGCATATTCTCTATAATCCTGTCCACAGAGGGACATCTTTCTGTGGCATGACAAGGATCAAAGAGGCCTTGGTGAAAATGGAGCAGCACAAGATGAGACAGTGGACTGAGAGAAAGATATAAAGGAACAAGAAAGAGAGATTCAGGCAGACTTTTCCCTTAAGTCAATTTAAGATGACATCTTGATTTCTTCCCAGTGCACAGGAGCACTGCTGTGGAGGAGATAAAGCAGTGTTTAGGATCAAAGAGGTGTGCTGCAGAGATGCCTCAGAAAAGCCCTGCACTCTCCCTGACGCTCAGTCACCCTCCTGTGGTGTGCTCTTGTCTGGGCACATTCACACAGGAATTCACCTCCGTGAATGAATGTGTGGTGCAAAAGGTGTGTGATGGGTAGTGATGGCTTTCAGCGAACGGAAGTTTCTTGCTACATAAATAAAAGCAGCCAATGGGTTGGGTTGATGCAGACAAGGTCAGATCACAGCGTGCATAGGTGAACTGAGCTAAGAATGTGTGTGTATGAATGTGTGGGGCCTTGCCTGTATGATTATGACCATTTCATCTGGCTAGTCAAGAGAACTCACTTGAGATTTGAGTCTGTGTGAAGCTTTGCCTCTTTCAAGCCTCTCAATATTTTACTCATGAAGTGCAGCAAAAACAGTTAATAGGAGGGAGTGAGATGAAGCTGGGTCAGCATACCCATCAAGTTTCTACAAGTTTCACAGTTTTTATCTTGAAAACACCTGTCCTGAAGCTAACTCATCTCTCACTCACTGGCTCCCACTGGAATGAAGACCAAAAACTGGGTTTAGAGGAAATAATCACAGGATTTTCTACTGAACTGCCAAGACAAGGGAAAGAACGGGTTGCTCCAGAGTTGAAAAAGCCCATAAAGCTAAGTTACATAGACAACGGCAACATTTTTAATATTCAGCAGATGCAGAACAACAGCACCCACCGGTCAGTCTCCTTGCTGAACTGGCCCCTACCCACGTCGTTGACAGCACACAGGCGAAACTGGTATGAGCGCGCTGGGATAAGGCCACCAACAATAACCCCAGTAGACTCTGGCTCAATGTTGGCCAGTAATACTGTCCAAGGGGCATCTGAGATGGAGAAGATGCACATAAAGACAGAGCTGTGAGCAATAGCAGCTGAACAGTAAATGACCTTGTGAGAGTATTAATAATCTTAAGAAAAAACTCTTCAGCACTTGCACACTCAAATTTGAATATTGTTATTCCTGACTATTATTGCATACCACTGTTTCATTTTCGGTAATACGATTGCAGCTACTGATAAAAAAAACAAACAAACATTAATTTTCTATACGCTGCCCCTAAAAATCAGATTGAAATTCAATTATCAAAAAACCAAATCCCATCTTCATCCACAGATTCATTTTCTTCTTAATGAGGTGTCATCTTCTGAGTTATCCTGAGCTTCGATGACGAATGGTTGAATGATTTACTCTCCAAGGCTGAAGGCATGTGTGCTTTATTAAATTATCAAGCCAGAAACCAACAAACAAACAAAAAAGATAAGAGTATCGGACATCAAAACAATTTGGTTTCCATGATCATTTGGAAGGAAGTGTATAGGTAAGGCAATTGAGTTTTACTGATTGCAAAAGGTAAAAGAGGATGCAACTGACAATTTTAAGGACAGAATGGAAATGTAATATAATTAGAGAGATAGCAAATGAGTTCTTCCTGGGAGAAGAAGTAATAATATTGCCTTTAAAATGACTAACAAGAAACAACGAATACATTCATTTTTGAGCAACATGCATTTTTAATGGTGATGCTGGTGCCCTAGTGATGGGGAATCACACAAAACCACTCACTGTTTTCGGAGACTTCAAGGATGTAGCGAATGAGGGGGCTGTTACCATCAAAGGCCTGGGCCCATGTCAGGTTGATGGCCCTCTTCTCTGTGCTACTCAGAACTGCTATGGGGTTTTCTGGAGCATGGGGCAGTTGCCTATTTGTTCATGTAGGTGTGTGAGTGATGGACAAAGAGTTAAAAAGAAACAGAATCAGAAAAACAGCAAATAACGGAAACAGCCAAACTGAGAGCTTTGTAGTGTAAATACTAGAGGGGTTTGATGGATTAGAGAAGAGAGTAGTGATAAACCACAACAGTGGAGAAAACATCCATCAATCATGTCCCAGTCAGACAGAAATAAGGAAACAAAATACAGACAGTATGATAAGACAGGGGAGACATGCAGGCTAATATGCAGACCTGACTCTGAGGTGAGCGCTGCGAGAGTCATTGCCACCCACTGAGGTCACCCTGCAGGTGTATGTTCCGATATCACCCGACCACGTCTGGGAGATGTGCAGGGTCCCGTCAGGATCCAGTCGAAGGCGGGGTGACGTGTTCACGTCAATCACTGAGCCACTCTTCTCCCACACATACCTGGAGGTAGTAAATGTAAGTGTAGTACACACATACAGTATACTACATGAACACACACACACACACTCACACATTAACACTCAGTGTTGTGACAGTAAATCCATTTGGTTTTTGTCAGGTCATTCAGCAAAACACAGGAGGCGCTGGCATCAATGAAAAGCCTTGTGAGGCTGATGGCAGGACTTGTCCTCCATGCATTTCCCTCCCTGTCACATACCCAGCTGCATGTATGGAGCCCCCCATATCCACATGCACACACACATGCACACAGTAGGAGCTCCTGTGATTAATTGCGACTGGTTATGCTCTCCAGCTAATCTCCTCTGTGCTTCGTTTAATTAAAGGCGCTGTCTGAAGTTATTACTCTGTTTACATATTCATCTGTTTACCCCGCAATCTGATCAATGCTGTGGGCCCACAGGTGACAAGAACTCTAATCACTGGGCTCCATAGACATTATTTCACTCCCTCTGAGACAGATACATGTACACACTCTCTCATGCTTGAGACTGTCTGAAGTGTAAGTGATAGCCTAATTCCTCCAGCCTCCAAATCCTCCATAGGAGGTCATCTTATGGCGGATAAACACTACAAGATCTCTTGCAGATTTCATAAATGAATTAAGTACAACATTGATACCCAAGCTTGTTTTCTAGATTGGAATTGCATAAAGAGATTGTAAGTGACGTAAGTGTTACAGGCAGATGCCATCATCACCTGACAGTGACGCTGGGATCATGGGTCACACCACAGGTCATAACAGCCTTGGTTCCTTTGATGACACTCTGGTCTTGTGGTGGTTTAGTGATGCGGGTTCTTGCTGCAAATACACACATATTACTCAAAGATGGCTCACAGTGAGAAACTTTACTCTACTTGGTTCCATCATTCACTCAATGTCTTTCAGTAACAGGGTGAATCATAAGTATTTTAAACATGTGGAATATTTTGCCAGGCTTTCAAGGACTGGTGATAGGAGTTAATGCCACAGAGAATGAGTACATGTTTGAGTCATTAGACTATATAGTCAATATCTTGGCAGTGACCTTCAGGAACCAGGTACTTAGTGCATCAACAAGTAAAGCCATGGATTAAAAAAGATTGATGCTTTTTTTATTATCCAAAGGTTTTGCTTGGTCTCATATTTTGCTGCATTTTTCACATGTGCTGGACAAGGTAGAAAATTAAGATGATGCAAACAGTACAGATGATGTACAGAAAGTATCCATTTTCTGGTATGCTTACCCCAGACCACTAGGTCAGCTGAAGCCTCATCAATGCCCCTGGAGTTACTGGCCATGCAGGTGTAGGTACCAGCATCAGACAGGTGGGAGGGGCTGATTAGCAGACTGCCTGACTCCAGCAGAGTGAACCTGAGCAGCTGGACCGAGCCACTGGCCAGGACACGTTCACCTGCAGGAAAGGGTGAAAGTGATGGATGGTGTGGGATAGGGGATGAGAGAAAAAAGGGGGGACAGAGACAAAGAGAGATTACAGTATTGGAGAAGTGTCAGGGATAACAAACTGGTGGTCAAGTGATGCAGTGAAAGGAAAGGACTAAAGGCTTGTTAGCAGAAAATGCAAATTCTGAATCCTTTCCACAGCGCTTGTCTAACTTCAACAAGTCTAAAAGCAGCATGATGAGCCATCCCTCAGAAGCTCATGCTGTTGGCCCACGCACCTTTCTGCCAGGTGATGGCTGGCCGTGGGGCTCCGGAGGTCTCACAATGTAGAATGACTGACATACCGTCAATCACAGCGCTGTCAGAGGGGCCAGCTGTGATGTTGGGAGCGATACCTAGGAGGGAACAGGTCACACACACACACACACACACACACACACACATGTACACAAACAAAATCAGGTAATACAGAGGTGATAATGAGCAACATAAACAGCTTTCTCCTTAATAAAGCAGACGGCTCAGAGCTTAATAGATCTGACAAAAGGGGCGGCTGTCAGGTCTCATTGTCACGGACAGCTCTGAGAATCTGACAAGGTGCCTCTGTCATTTTGCTTTTGCTGCACATTCTCTGATTCAAAAATAACCAATAATTGCCCGAGCATCCAAGGTGACAAATCTGTCACTGCAAAAAGATACATAGATAGAAGAGTGTAGGCGAGACAGAGAGAGGGAGAAAAGAGATTAGAATTAAGAACAGAGAGGATTTAAGAATAAGGAAGGGAGAGAACAGAGGGGGGATGGTGAGCAGAATTAGGCAGCAAATGTGCAAATGGCATTGAGAATTTTTCAAGGGGACATACTAGTAACAGCTAGGTAGGTGTTTGTTTGGATCTCTCCTGCAAGATTGCGTGCAAAGCACTGAAACATCCCAGTGTCATCTGGCAGGAGACCGTTGATCTGTAGACTGCCTCCTACCAGCACCCTGTACCTGGGTATTTTCACCGGGCTGATGGGCACTGCATCTTTATACCACACTATGTCTGGCTGTGGTGTGCCTGCAGAGAGAGGAGAGGATTTAATTTTTTACCCTTGTCACTGTGACCCTTTTGTTCTTTTGATCCTTTTTTCATCCTTCCTTGGTCTTTCACAGGAAAACAAGCATCACTAACCTTGTGCTTGACAGGGAATATCCACAACCTTCTCCATCTCTGCACTGATGTGACTTGGTGGCTCTTTTACAAACAGAGGGTACTCTGTATCAAAGATGAAGATGCATAAAACAATGCTCTATAAAAGCCTTTAAAAGCAACTTGCAAATCAACTGTGTGTTTTATCTCGACTCTTTGCTGGTGAATTAAGCATTTGTACCAGTCTAACAGCAACTCACATACTGAAATATAACATGACAACATGTTCTCTCAGCACCAGGGTTTGTAGCTTATGCAATATTTGTATATTTTAGGCTCAGCTGCTCTGTGCAAGGTTAAAGAGTAAGATTTGGCTTATTTACCAAGAACATGCAGGAAGGCCCCAGCAGTGACTGAGGGGATGCTGCTACTGCGGAGTGATGCCTCACATTCATAGTAGCCACTATCACTGACTGCAGGCAAACTGATGACCAATCTACGGCCAAAATCTCGGATCCCTGTATTGACCACTACCCCGTCTTTCCTCCAAGTAATACTCATTTTGACAAGAGGTCTGGAGGACAAAGAGATGAAAAGGAGAAAAAAGAAAGAAAGAAATACCAAGCATGGTTTTTAATACAGATTCATATTCTGTTTCAAGGTTACAGAGCATTGAGGCAGCAATGGGATACATCAGTCATTCTGATTAAGTCTTTGAATCGAAGATAATAGTCAGAATTTTGGAATGGAATTGCGCAAGACAGGGGGAACAGAGTGAAGCCTTGAGTCAAAAGGTAGACTTGAGGAGAGGTACACAATGAAAGTTGAACAAAATTGTGAACAGATAAAAAAAATGTCAACAGTTACAGCAAATCACAAAATATCAGATGTGGAGGTCAGATGATGTGACAGTTTTGACAGTGTTTGCATCTTTAACTCAGTATTCATGACTGTTTGTGTAAAAATATACCTCGCATTGGCAATGCATTCCATAATGGCTTCGATTCGTCCCACTGTTACACTGGTGTTCTTTGGGGGGATAATGATAGAAGGGGCAATGGGGTCTGCAGGTCCTCCTACATCTATCACACACAGGAACACATACATATAAACAGAAAAAGCAAAAAAACATCTATAAACTATATACAGACTTCAGAATAAGCCTATACGTCTGACTGATATAGCCAACTGTGAATAGATACATAGAGACTGCCAATCTGCCACTACAGCAGGTATCACCCAACTATTAACACCCCTGTCTTTACTTCAGATCTGTTTTCTAGTGCACACAGCATTTCTTGTGCATGGTGTTAGCCCAGGTGTTAGAAGCCATTATGTAGCATAATTGAGACAAACACAAAAGGCGATTAAATGCAGCACCATCACTCACAGGTTTCACAGAGCCTCCAGCCAACCATCGATTCACTGCCCTCAATCAGTGATCTCTCTATGAATCTGATCTCTTTCTTCCCCACCTCTCTGGAGTATGTGTACAGGCCGGTGCGTTTGTCTGACTGATTGTACAGTATGTTTTCAGTGCATTGCATGAGTGTATCGTTTGCATGTATATTTGTTTGGGGGTGCCCGTGTTTGTCCATTGGTGATTTTTTTCAGGGCTACTCCAAGTTATTACAGTGCCATTTTAAATCACACCCTTGTGAGGCCCATTTTTATAGGATCTCAGCAGTGTAATGACAAAGTTTCCTCTTCAAACACTGTCTGAACATTGGAGCAACCCTCCTCTTGGTTAGTGTTTGTTTCTGCTCCCCATTTGATTGCTTCAGGTCCAGTTCTTTATTTGTGCAGCTTGAAATCATGATTTTATTTGCGCTACAATTTCACAGTTCAATCTATTAAATAAGGTGCATTGCAATATTTTAACAATTTACCATGTGAAATGAGATCTTTGTTGGGATCCCATGCAAGTAAATGTATATTAATGTATGGTACTACATGAGACTGAGGTTTATTTCTATTACAACATTTGTTGATCAGTGTAATATTTGCTGCCTAATTCACAGGTGAGATTATGTGAAAAGCCTGACTGTTGTGAGATAATCACCACTAATATTTATCATCTATCAAGAGACAGAAAATAAGTGTTTACTGAGCTCACTAACATGTAGTGGTATAAATAGTAATGAAACAAATTATGAATGATTTATTGATTATAGCTGTTGATACACTTATGTTGAAGCTGTTAAAAATGTGTCAGCCACTGCTTTTGTGTGAATTTGTCCTCTTTTTAAATGCTTTAGAAATATGTGTAAAAACCCAAACCCAACTGATTTGGTAAATTACATTAAATTTTATAAAATGTGCCTGGATATGCTCTCTATGTTTGCCACTGACACAACAAAGCTGAATCCATTTCACTTGTCAAAGAACTCATTTTATTTTCTAGAAGATATGGTTGGTTTCTTGGCAGACACTAATTAATGTATTGCAGTTCATAAACTCTCAGTGTTGAGAATACCTCAAGTGTGTAATCTTCTAATTAAATGGGGAAAGTAAACAACGTTGTGACCTGCATAGAAAATTCTCCCTACTAATATCACCACATTGTTTACATTTGTCTGTGACCAAAGAAATTTGTAAACCCAAGTCAACTTTAGTCTATTTCACACTCTAAAGAATTAAACAAACAGCAAACTGTCTGCCCACTTACAGGATTACCCAGTGTCTTTATGCTTTTCACTATTAGAATCAACTCCATCTCATTTGTATACTCCCTAAGAAACAATACGCCTCCTCTGCTGCATATCTTTGTCTTTTCACCACAGAATTGCTAAAATGAACAAATGCAGCTGTAAAAAAAAAAAAGAAACAGAAGAAAAAAATTCCTTATTGAATTTCAAATGCAAAATGCAGTTGTGTGATCTGCAAAGTCAGATTCGGTGATGTTCAGGGATATCTGCTCCCCACAGACTGCTGTGTCATGCGTATTGAGCACTGATTTACAAACACCGCATTAACAATATGATGAGCAGATGCTGGAGTGAGCAGAAAGTCAATATTAATAATGTGCTGCTCCACAGTGAACAGGGTAAAATCCTCATATGATAGTAAAAACCCCCATCAAATAAAAAATATGAGTCATAAGACAACCTGGGATATCATTTATCAAAGGTTGTTTTATATGTGGTATAAAATATTATCATAGAGTAAATCTTATCCTTAGAGCCAGTTAAATGGAAAATACATTCAGTGGCCCCTTAAATTGGCTGGTAAGCAGAGAAAAACTGCTTTTATTTAGATTAAATAAAACAGTAGGTGGGAGGAGATGCTTTAGCTTCAGATAAACACTAATGATCTGACACATAACCATGCTTGTGTAAGCAATGCAGAACTTTATTTGAAGTTGTGTTTTGTTTATACATGGTCGGCCTTCTAATCTGATGTGTGTTTGTGTAGGGTGTCATTATGTTTAATCATACCCCGTTTGCTCCATGTCATTTTCATAAATCTGTTTTTTTGTGAGGAGTGATTAAGGTTCTCTTTATGGAGCCATACATCCAGATACTGCTGGAGCTCCACGTAAAACACGCTGCATGACTGGAATCCACTGATCAAGCCAGAGGTTAGAGGAGCACAGGAAGAGGACAGCTACATTTTTGTTGCAGAGGTAATAGACATGATTATGTTGGACAGAGAAAAAAAAACAGCAGGAAGAAGTGATTTAAATAAAGGACAGGCAGTAGAGGGTGCTCTCTGTGTTTCTATTGTCCTCATCTGAGCCACCTGTTGTGTAGCTACTGTCTTGACTAAATATGTGTGTTCAAGTGATGAGCTGAGAAAAAATATAATGAATAAAAATTTTAACTACACTTTCGTCTGTGACAAGCTGTTAATGCAATCTGCTGATGACACAATCATTCTGCTGGTGAGTTGTGTCTTTCCTTGAGCTGGAGAGCAAGTCTGTTGCTTCAGTGTGTATACATGTGCACTAGCGTGTGTGTGCGTGAGTGTGTGTACTCACTCTCCACTGTGAGTGTGATGGGCTGACTGGTTTTGTTCTCCCCATTCTTGTCATTAACTGCCTGGGCGTAGTACCGCCCTGCATCAGGGGCCACCGTGGATAAGATAACCAGCGTGTTGTCCAGGGTGATGGCACTGCACACACAAACACACATCCCCAGTCAGCAGGCATCTTTTCCAAAATGTATCCCCACACACCAAACCATGCACACATAAACAAGCACACAGACACACTCATAGCATATGATATGATATGATATCGTATCGTATCATATCGTATCATATCATATCATATCATATCATATCTGTTTCTGGCAGCCAATCAATCCAGAGGTTAAAGTGATATATAGGCCCACATACACTCATAAATTATACTTGAAAAGAAGCAGACAAAAATATTTATGAGTCTTGCCACCTTCAAGGTGCAGTGTCTTAAAGGAATAGTTCATAATTTATCTCACCAGCACAAGGTTTACTGTCATTTTAAAACGTATAAATCCAGTGGGCTCATATTAGAGTGGTCTTGTGAGGCTTTGTAGACCAGTCCTAATTTTGTTTATGGAAGCATTTACTCAGTTGACCTTTTTTTTTTACTCTTAAAAGAGAATTAGTATTATTCAGACAAATTACTGTAATTGGTCTTATGGTGGTGCAACTATTGAACTTTGTCTCCATATTTAAAGTACATTTGTGAGATGTGAGCCTCAGCCAGAGTCCATCTGTGTGCAACTTGGCCCATTATATAGAAATGAATAACTGTCATAGTCTGATACTCACAAGGTGGGAAAAGAAAGTCTCTAATTTTGCAATAACAAATATACTTATTTAAATGACCTGTCAAACTCACTGTAATGTATTGTATAAACACAGTGTTAGCTTGGTTGATCTATGGAGCATTTCATGGCATGGTAGACAAACTATAAATAAAAAGGATGAATAAGAGTAAAAACTAGACTTATCTACTAGTATAATTTCCAAGCTGTCCATTAGCTTACTTCTTTGTGACTTCTGTGGCCCAGCAGCCATGAAATTTGCTGACTGTTGGTTAGGCTGATAGTTTTGAACATCTGAAAAAGGGCCATTAAATGAGAACTGACGCTAAGCATGGAGACAGATTAGGCTCTTCGTATCTGCAGGGATCTGCCTGACTGGTGCAGGATAAACAGACACACTCCTGGACAATTAGGAGCTGTGGCTTTCACCAAGTCAACAGACACATACACAAACACACAAACACCAATATAACCACATGACTATGAATATCAATGTAGCCTGACACAAAGCGAGCAAACAAGCGGCAAATGCAGAGTGTTGTCAGTGGCTCTCATTGTCACAGAGCAAAGCTTCAGTGCTTCTCTTCTGATAAGAGTTAACTGTATAGTAACCAGCTCTGGAATTGGTCAAACATTCATGGGAGGGGTTGAGATTTTTCTTAAAATTTCCCTCTGTGCTTGAATTGTGTTTGTGGAACTCTGTGGGGAGAGGACACATTCTCCATTCTTAAAGCAAGAACACACATGGCAAAAGTCTTTGTGACAGGTACAACACAGCAGAGCTCACTGCTGAACAATAGATGAGGAGGTGGATTTTCAGGAATGGTGCACTGCCTGCGTCTCTTTGTCTGGATAGCAAAGTTAGTGATCACCATTGCTAAGCGTTTCTTCAGGAAACTGCGTCCTGAATAGACATGAATCCAACAAACAACAAAAAAAAGCAGTCACACTCATACTCACATTCAGAGCATAGCCCTTACAGACACAGTCATTCACAGAACTCCCACTGTACACATACCACCTCACACAGATTCTTACTAAATGCACATATGCATACCCTCTCACATACAGATCCACTCACTCAGAGACATATCATCAATTGAAGCCTTTTGTCCAGTTTTGTCTAATTGGTTCCCCTGCTGCCTGCTCTGTCTCTAGCCTTCAATCATCCTGCCAGTAAAATCAATAGGGGCAATATAATAACCCACTTTATCACTCAGGGGTGATTCAATGATGAACATAGGGCCTGCACCAATATTTGTTCATCAACTATTCTGCACCATGCTGTGTAGGAGATATAGAGAAATTCTGTGTTTTGTATTGAACTTCTTGGAGTTATCTGAAGTAAAATATATTCTGCTTCAGCAGCTCTGCAGCAGCATCTCATATATGAGAGCGCTCGCCAAATACACAAAAAGTGTACTGTAGTAAATTCACATTCTGCTCAAACCAAGCTGAGGTGAGTGTAGACTTACATACGGCTACTGGAGGGAATCTTACGCCCATCTCTGAACCAGGTGATCTGTGGCCTGGGGAAGCTGTGTATCCGTGGTGCATGGATGAGAGCACCTTCACCCTGGGATACAGTTTGAGTCCTCTCACTTTCCACAAATCCACCCATATCTAGCAGACATAGAGGAAAAAGAATGTGAGATGGAGAGACAAGTAAAAATGAAAAATGAGTGCTAGAAAAGAACATGTTAGAAATATTTTTTTTTTAAAAAGACATCATTTTTACCACATTTTGTACCTTTTTCAAAAGCTAGGCTCCTTTACTCAGTGACTCATCCACATATTGTGCATGACAAGCCTTTCACAAAAACAGCATCCTTCCTCTACTCTGTCAAATTTGGGGATGCACTGAAAGAAACCAGCACTTACAAGCAACATGCACTTCAGTACTGCACTGCATTATAGCACCCACTCGGTTTCTAACAATGCAGCGGTAGTGGCCAGCATGTGATCGGTCCAGTGAAGGGATCAGGTACCTAATGGGCACACAGGATGCATTAGTCTTCATCAACATGATAGACAGCGACATTTGTCATCTTGCCACTTTTATCCTCCATATTCAACATACTAAATTAATCAAGATGTTTCACTGGACACCTGAAACACAATTTAAATGACATTCCACTTAGCTATAATACATGAATATTCTAAATTAGGAATAATAGAAGAGCGTTGAAGAATGACAGTAGATAGTAAACTAAATTTAGAAGAATATAATTTTAAGGCAGAGACAGTTGAATTCCTGAGTGGCAGAATTCACAAAACCTCATTGTTATCTTATATCTTCAGTGAGTCAAATCAAACCATGCAAGCACCTATTACATGTTAGACCTGGGCAGCCATAGCTCCATCTCCCTCATGTGCATTCATGTTAAATGGTGTGTGCAAAATGTTAGCTGGATAACCCCAGAGCTGAGTCTCTTTTAATTGGTGTGCTATAGCCACTTAGGAGTGTGGAGGCCACCCCTGTCATGTTCCTCCTGCACTGCAATTCGGGGGTGGGGGGTGGGGGCTCTGATTAAATGGATTCCACTTCTCCTCTTTGATCAGGCCTGGTGAAGAATAACAAGCAGAGGCCGGGTCTGCAAGGCAGACCCACATACCGAGCCATGTGAGAGCACAGCCAAATGCTCAGTAAAGACAAGGAAAGAAGAAGAAGATGATGAAGGGGGGAAAAGGGGAGAGAGGATGTGAGAAAGGGAGATAGACAAGGAAGGGAGGAGAAGGTGTGTATAGGGAAGGGGGAGGGGGTGGGCAGTGACAGCAATCAGGCAATGCCACCTGAGAGTGTCTGTTCATGTCTAGGGGTCTAGTCAGACTCTGAGTCAAGAGTCCACAAAACAGGGCTAGAATAAGATAGAAACTGACTTTCATTGTGATTGTGACACAGAGGAATAGTGGTGCACAAGCATATAGCACATGTACAAATGGGCAGAGCGCACTGATGCAAACATGCACACACACACAGCACAGATGCCTTGTTAGTACAGCACAGGCTGAGGCTTTCTTTTGCCACACTCCTTGCTGTTAGTAGAAATTTTTAGTATTGTGTTTAAGGCTGAAGTAATATAATCTGAAGAATTCCATATATCAGTGCTGCTCTCTGAGAAGTCATGTAATTGGATTAGAAATTATTTGTCTTATAGATCATAAGCTGTTGTAGTTGATTGTTTTAAGTTAAATTTTATGGGTATTCTTAGAGGAGTCCCACAAGGATTCATTTTGGGCCCCACTTTATTCACAACATTTATTAATAATCTAGGATCCAAAGTAATTCACATTTGTATGGTTATGACATGGTCATTTATTCAGTGGCCCCTGGAATTGATCAGGCTTTTCAGTGTTTGATTTTAACCTTGTTCAACATCATCTTCATGATCGTAAACTAATATTAAATTCTTGTAAAGCAAAGTATATGTTTCTTTTAGAAAACAATGTCAAACTGATCATTTGAATTTAAACATAGCTACAGTGAAAACTGTTGTCATTGACAAAGTCTCTGCATATGAATATACTGGCTTTTGGTCAGACAACAAGCTGAGTTTTGAATTGCATATTGAGAAATTAACTGTTTTGCTTAAGCCTAAACTTTCATTTCTGTATAGAAAGAGATTTTGTTTTAATGAATGTCACAGGAGGCAGTTGGTAGAAGCAACTATTTTATCTGTAATTGACTATGGCAATATAATTTATATGCATGCCTCTGCCAAAACCTTGAAACCACTTGACTCAGTGTATCATGCTGCTATTAGATTTGTTACTGGAGATCCCTTTAGGACTCACCATTGTGAATTATATCAGAAAGTAGGTTGGCCATCTTTGACACTGAAAAGAAAGCATCATTGCATGTTATTTATCTATAAAGTCCTACTTAATAAGTTGTCTGAATATATTACATGCCTCCTGAGTTATCATCAAATGCCAGACCCGTTCACAAGATTATCTTCTTCTGCAACCCTTTTTTTTTTTTTTACAAATACAGAAGTAGGAAAGATGTCTTTCTGTTACTATGTCCCTCAAAGATGGAACAGTTTGTAGCAAAAGAACTAAACTCCATTGGTCTCACTTTAAACTGCTTTTATATAGCATTTTACAGTTTAAATGTGAGTGTAACAGATGATTTGGACACAGTGTTTTAATATGATTTTATCTATGCAGATTTTGTATATATATTGTTTTTAATGTGTGTCTTGTGATTTTGGATTTTTTTATACTGATTTTATATGATTCATGTGTTATTGTTTCGAAGGTGTTAATTATATGTCAGTGCACCACTGAGAATGAAAGCTTGATGATGATGATCTTGGTGGTGACAGAGAATAGCTGTCCTCCACACCATATAATCTGATGGAAAATATACACTGTGTGATTTTCTTGCAGAAAGGATATTTTCAACAAACAGCAATATAAAAAACTCACAGTATCCCTGAAGGCTGAATATGGTGTGAGATATAAGTCAAACTAAATTTGACAATTCCCTGAACATAAGATGTTATGTCACAAGGGAGACATGCAGCCAAAGCAGTCCTGAATAAATCCATACAAATTAGTGTGGAATATGAATAAAAATGAGCAACTGAGCTATTAGTTACAATTTAAATGCCACTAAAACATCCTCATGTGGTAAGCTAAATGTAGTTGATGAAAAAAGAGAGAGAATCCGATTTGGCAGGGAGATGAGGTTGCATTCTTTACCGATATTCCAAGGAGAAATGTGTGAGTTCTGTCCCATTGTAGATCCATTTGAATTCCAGGGGCCAGCTGCCTTCAGCCATGCAGGTTAGAACGAGACGGTTCCCCTCCAGGTGAACCTGGGTCTGAGGAGGCTCCATCTTAAAATAAGGTTGGACATCATCTACTGCAGAGAGAAAGAGAAAAAGGGAGGGGGTTAGAAGGAGGATGAGAGTGGCATGCAGTAAAAAGACACAGGAAAAGACAAGGACATATAGAGAAAGAAATAAAGTGAAGTAGTGAGAGGGGGAAGTTGGGAAAAAAAGGCAGTGATTCAGTAACCTCTGTGAGCAGACACACAACATAGTTCCAGCAATTCGTCGTAAATGAGGGCTTAGAACAAACTATTTCCATTTTTCTTCTGCGCTGATTGGGAACTTGAAGGTCAACAGAAAAGCCTGCCAAAAGCACATGGAGTAAGTTGTTAGTGCAAAAGCAGCTTACTCTTTTATTTCAAATTGAAATGTGCTGGCATAGAGGTAGAAGAGCAATCTGTGCAGCAGAAGAAGTGTAAATGAACACTTCCATACCTCTAGATCTGTGGAAGAGGATGGGGAGAGACAGTCAGGGAGAGGGAGATGGAGAGTGGAGGGAAGGGGGAAGAGACAGAAAACAAATGGAGAAAAATATAGCAAAAATGGTACACATAAAAGAATGCAAGGACATAGGAGGAAGAGAGAGTGAGAAACGAGGAAGCCATGAGGGCTGCCGGTGGTAGGGGCTGCTTTAGAAAACACAAAGTTTCCCAGCCTTAAACCCCTTTTTCTGACAGGATGAGTTATGCTCTGTGCCCCCCTTCATTTATCTTTATAGTTCTCTAATGCAGCCAGATTATACAGACCCCATCTGCAATGCTGCACACAGCCAGTGCAGCCACAGAAAGCCTTTAAGGTGTTACGCAAGGTCCAGAGCTGAGCTTGGAGACAAAGTGCTTTCATTTGAGCTGATGAAAAAGCCATGATCAGACCTATTGATCTGTCTGCTTCACCAGCCACGGGCGACACTGAGCCGATTGTGCCAGTGTTTGTGGCGGGCTAATTAAAGTCTGTATTAATAGTTGTAGTAAGTCGCCAAGGCCTGGAGCAGGCCTAGTTCTAGGCCTACCACATTGGCTGACTCACTCTCATGGCTGATTACTTGAGCCTCTTTCTTTCATTCTCTACACCCATACGCAACTTCACACTCAAGATTTATGGTGGTAAATGCAAAGGATGGCGTGGTGGGACTGGGTGAATGTAAGGGCAGCCTTTTCAAGCAGGGAAGGCGATACAGAAAATTGAACCTGATTGAAACTGTAAATAAAAGAATGACTGTGCACCTCTGTGTTTCACACATTCAGTCATGCGTGCACTGTGTACATACACACAAACACAGATAATAGGACACACATACACAGAGGCACAAACAATAACCCTTCAAAAGCTACTGCTTACTCCCCCTTCTATCACCTGCAAACACACCACTCATAAAAGAAGGCAAACAAACAACAGCCATCTCATTGCTTTCTGTTTCCAAAATCCAGCCCTCACATTTCCACTACCTGCCTCATCTGTTATTTCAACCCCACTTGCATGAACTTCTCCAAAACAATTACTGTCAAACCCAACAGGCTTTTGAAAATGATCCCTTTCTGAGCCCAAATGGAGGAGCCATCTCTATTTTCCCCAGACACAAGCCACTGGAGTGGTGGCTTTGCTGTAATTCCATCCACTGCATTCATACTTGACACACATACACACACATATTTATACAAGCACAGTGCACTCACAATCCCAAAACATTCACTTATGCCTGAACAAATGCACACAGGCAACACCTAACCACTTCCAGCTGGTTCGGGGGCTTGGTGGCTACATCCACTTAGCAATGCAGCTTTTTCAATAAGCCACCATTAGAGACCCCCACGTGCCAAACCTAGACTCACACATTGATTGTCTGAGGCAAGGACTATGCATAATACAAAGTTACTGATGTGAAATTATGGAACAGGGAATTGAGTGTACTGTAATCACCACTGTGGCTACCTGTTTTAATGCCATTCATGTGCTCACATTTGTTTCTGCCTCAAATGACACATTCACTTGAGCCCTGATTAGGAATCCCAGAACATGGACCATCTATGCCACTTGCGACCAATTTTACAATTAGAGCAAAGTGTATCTTTGCGGGATCAAAGCCAGCCAGAGGGATTTTAATGTTTATTTAACATTAAAATCATGAAGGATTGACTTCCACTTCCATGCTGCTAAACCCAAGAAAAGACACAAGTGAAGCGATCTTCTCTTTGAGACTCAGCGAGAAGTTAAATGGCATCTGCCCTTTAACAGTTCTTACTGCTGCAGGACAATAGGACCGATTCCTAAGCACAATGAGCTTCCAACAAATACTGTAACTTTGTGTCTGATCCTCATTTTCCTTTTTATCACTGTGTTTTTCATCTGCACAGTGAACTGCTAAGATCAAGCAACACTGATACATGTTTGTGTCTGTGGTAGAGGCTGCATGTGCAATAATAGTAGCCAACATAGACTGTATAAGTTTGTTTCTCTATTTCTTGTTTTCTTTGACTGTGAGCGTGAGTGTGCGCATGCGTGCGCATGTTTGTGCGGCATTGCAGATACCGAGAATATACTGTATACAAGCAATGTGACATGCATTTGTCAACATGGGAATATTTATGTTTATTTTGTTTGTGCAGAAAGGTGATTTCAAATGTACAGAAGCGATGGCACACTGTAAGCAAGTGTGCTGTCACTACGATGTCAGATCAATATGTTTGCCTCCAGTGTGGTATCACCATTGCTGCTCTGATCCATAATTTGTCTCAGGTGTCATCTCTTTTTAGACCCCTCGGATTTAATGGAATGTAACACTCTTACATATTTACAGACATGCATGTTTATGTGTGTGTGTGTGTATATACATATAGTACAGTGCAGTAGAGAATAAAAAACAAAAATAAGATGCCCCCCCGTGACCTCGTTCAGGGATTAAGCGGTAGAAAATGAATGAATGAAAAAAAAGATGCATAGAAGCTTCAAGTGTGGTTTAAAAAGGGCAAATAAGTGAGTTTTAGGACTTAAAAGCGGCCACTGTGGGTCCATATGTAATATAGGGAGGTAGACTATTCCATAACTTGAGTCAGCTATTTTAAAGGCACAATCTCCCTTCATCTCAAGGAATGGAGGATATGTAGAGATGGAGACAAATTAAAGGCCAAAACAGGATAAAGTTTCTCAGGTGCTGGGCCACGATGTGCTGCCAGAACAGCTTCAGTGTACTTTAGCATTGGCTCTACAAGTGTCTAAACTCTACTGGGGGGAAGGAACATCATGCTCCCAAAAGATATTCGCTTATTCACTGTTTAGATGAAGGTAGTTGAAAGCATTGTTTAACTTGTCAGTCAAAAATCTACCACAGGTGTTCAACTGGGTTGACACCTTTCTGTTGAAGGCCAAAGCATATGATTCACATCATTTTCATACTCATGAAACTATTCAATGACCCTCATGCCTTTTGGATAGGTGCATTCTCATCCTGGAAGCAACCACTTATTTCTGCAGGTTTCTCCTTTAATTTGCCACAATTTGACTATTTGTATCTATTAATTTGTGTCCACTTGACTGCAGCTGACTGTGCCAAGGTAAAGCTGATAGGGGGCAGGGAGGATGAAAAGGAAGAGCACTGGCCAGGAAAATTCCATTCCAGCAAAGAATGAAGGGAAACTGGTATATACAGTATAACAGATGCATGTGTCTCACACTGCAGTCTTTGAATCCAGATGGAAAGCTAGAGGGCAGGAATTTCCTGCAGCACTATGGGCAGAGATAAAAGTCAACTGAAACAGATCGGCAGATCTAGGTGAGACCAAAAACTGGCATAGGAAGACCAGGAGGGCTTTAATATGGCTGCTGTGTGCTTCTTCCCAACAGGCAAGCTGCACCACCACAGCCCATTCACTACAGATATAAAAACACCTTATTCTAACCTGACAGCTGAGGTTGAATGGTGGCATGGCTCCAGGCGGGTCCCCTGCTGCATACACAGAATTTTAATGGCAGCGAAACAAGAACCACAGGCAGCTTTATAAACCAAGGCCCATTGTACTCCCATTGCGCCATGCTGGCATGCAATCATACAGAGGGTTTTCATATTCAGCTTTTGTCTAGTATTCTTTCTCTTGCTTTTTTGTGGCTCACCTCCTTACTCCTGCCCCATTCCAGCAGTGGGGAGCGCTTCCTGCCCTCTGTTTAGTCCTCAGGCACCTGTGTTTGAGCTTATGTACACATGGGCTCAAACATCTTGACTGGCATTCTGCACAAGTGTATCACTGAGATGCAACGATAAAGTGGAGCCCCTGCCTGTTGAAACCTTTGGATGTCGACTCTCTTGTTATTTACTCTCACTTGATCCACAGTTCTTATTTACTATTCCATCAACCCATATTTCCTCTGTCTCTCTTTTTCATCCTAGATATTGTAAATATGCATATGTGTAAAATCTTGTCCTTGATTTCTCTTGAATACTATATATTGTCTTGTTTTAGGTATTATTGAGTAGTTCTTCAGAAATCCTAAATATAGGTATTTCCCCCATTGCAGGATTAATTATGGGAGTAATATTCTTGTCATTGATTTATTGATCTCTTCAATACTATATCTTGTCTTGTTCTTGGGTATTTTCTTGTTCTCAGGGATTAAATGTGGGAGGATCATTCTTGTTCTTGATTGTCTCTCAAATACTATGTTCTGTTTGGTTTTAGGTACTTTGGAATTATGTGTGTGGTGTTTGTTCTTATGGTGTTTTGGTGCTGGAACACAGGAATTTCCCCATTGTGGGATCAATAAAGTCCTACCTACCTACCTTAACCTACCTACTATATGTATATATATAAAAATACATAGTGTAAATACTGTATGCATGTACTGTATACAGGTGACCACCTTGCATTCACCAGTGCATTATGTCATCTGGGGAAATTTAGAGCTGTCATTTATCCTCTTTAATTGGACAATGACATGTGAGATGGGTCATAGTTTTGTCTCCCTGATGGGGGTTGTGGTCATGACAGTGAACTTGGCCTAGTGGTGAAAGCATGTGGGTTGGGGGGTTGGTCGAAGGGGGTTA